TTCCAGTTTAGAGGCTTTCGGGCCCCCCATTTCCTTTGGTGTTCGCAAGCGATGTTAATTACAATAGGCCTATGGTTGGCGTTCGTACAAGTAGTCTCCGATACCCTAATATTTCGAAACCTACCACGCCTTGATATCTGAGTAATAACATGATCGTTCTGAGTTAGCGCACCAGTAGAGCAGCTGAAGCAAGTCCCTGACTGAACCCCCTCAAAGAAAGTGCCGACGACAGACAGTTCGTTTTCCAGACAGTGTTTTAAAATATGCTCCCCCCTCTCGTTCCTGGACCCCTTGGAGAAATTCCCAATCACATCCGACTCGACGTTGTGCAAACTCTCGCCGAACTCGCACTTCGAATCGACCGACAAAACTAAAATCTCAGAGTCACGCAGCTCGGAGATGACATGCTTGAAAACCTCATTCGCCCGCTCGAAGAAGTCCTCATCGGAGTGCTTCTGCGGGGGGTATCCTGAGGCTAAACAAAACTTGGCCGAACCGACACTGAGGTGAGCAACCATCACCCCGGAGTCACCGTTGACTCTAGGCTGCTCGAGACCAGTGGCGTGGCGCCTGTGGATGACGATGGCGCAGCCCCTGACCCCGCCCTGGCACGGCGAGGCAAGGACGGCGTGGCCGTCCACGTCGAAGATGCCCCCATCCCCTACCGTGGTGAACTCCTGGAGGAGAAGTACATCCCACACAAACTCCATAGATTGAAGCATGAATGCATACTCAGCTGCAGAAACCCCGCTACAGTTGAGAGCAACAACATTCAGGTCACGAATGTTCCTCATGCCGTACCCCTGCCTTCTGGTTCCGTACATGTTACCCACGCTTCTCCCTCTGCTGGGTGTTCCAGTCGTTCACCCTCTTGATGACAGCCCTCTCAAAGTCCGCGTCCGTCCACTGGCCCTTCAGCTCCTCTGGGAGGTTCCTCTGGCACAGCTTGATGTCCTGCGAGTTGCGGTCGATGTAGGCAAGCAGCACCTTGCGCTGGGTGTCGATGACCTCCAGCTTGCCCCCCAGCGTGCGCAAGGAGAGGTCGCCCTTCTTGGACTTGAGCTCCTCCGCGATCTTCAGCAACTTCGTGTAGCGCTGCCTCTCGTCGTAAGTATTGTGCTTCTTAATCCACAACTTTTTAGTGATTCCATTCACGGTATAGATGGCCTTGCCCGAGTCGTCTCCCTGAAGATTATCATCATTTGACTTCTTCTGGTGCTTCTTGATCACTTCCCACATCTTCGCAGGGCCACTGAGAGTCACCGTGGCGTGGTTGCCTGGGTTGCTAAACCAGGTGGACTTCACACCTGTGATGACGCACTCCAAGATCATGTCCACGAAGGGCTGCATCTCATCCTGTTCTGAGTAGGCCTCGAACCCACCTATGACTAACTTCGCGGGGGACTCATCAGCTCCTCCTCCTCCTTGAAGTGCTGACCGAAGGCCTGGAGGAACATCTGTTGACCCATTCGACGATGCCGCCCTCGAAGTGCCGATCTTCTTCGCCTCCTCCGCGGCCGCGAGCGCCTTCTCGGCGGTGACAAGAGCTTTGTCGGCCGCCGTCTTGATGTGCACCTGCTCTTCCTTGATCTCCTTGATGTCAGTGGTGACCCTGCCCATATGTCTCTTAGTGTGTCGATTGCTCTTCTTCAGCTGCTTCATGATGTCTGCAAGCGTCACCGCATTACCCGAGTCCTCCTCCGCTCGGGAGTCCTCACTGTCACTGTCCAGATTCATGTCGTCAACCTCGATCTGTCTGCGCTTGGCCATGGCAGCCAGGCGGCCCACCAGCTGAGAATTGCGCTGGGCGTGAGCTCAAAAGCCGTCGGCGCAGCCAGCCCAAGAAATGTTTGAGCCAAAATGGCCGTGACGATGATGATGATTGTTAATGGAGGTGATGATGACGACGACGTAAATGATGATGATGATTGTGACGACGACTACAACGACGACGACGACGACGATGACGACGATGATGATGATGGTGATGACGACCCAGTGACGATGATGGTGATGGTGGTGATGGTGATGGTGATTGTGATGGTGGTGCTGGTGGTGATGATGGTGATCCGGCTGCAGGCAAGAGTGACCTCTGACGCGTGGCTTGCCGATCATCGCGCGCAATGCGACAGTGGCGGCCTGCGTGCCTGGGCCCCCCCGCCGCCGCGCACCCAAGGAGGTCGCTCTGGCGAAGAGCCACCTCGAAGACGAAGCCAGGACTGGGACAAAGGCAGACATGGGATCACAAATCGGGGTTCTCTGAGGTCTGGTGGTCCTCGGGAACGCATAAAATGCGGCAGCTGTTCCAGGGCGCTCTGAGGGCGTTCCAGAACGCTCTCAGAGAGTTCTGGAACGCCCTCAGAGTTCTGCTCCTCCTGCGGCCCCAAGCCTTCGCGCGCTGACTCAAGCCCTTCAGCGAGTCTCACGCGCACGACTTGCATTCCGGGGTGCCGTTCTGGTGGGATGGGCCAACAGAAAGCTCGTAGCGGGCCCCAAGATACCCTTCAGACTCGCCCCAAGACACTATCCCAGAAACGCCGCCGAAACAGTCGCCGAGACAGCCCAAGAGCGTCCGAAAACAGCCCAAGCCGGATCCGAAAGGCCCCCAAGAAGACTCGAAGATGCCCAAACAAGCTCCCCAGACTACCCCAGAAAAGTTCAAGAGGCCTCGAAGAGACCCCGAAAAGGCCGCAAAGGTGCTCCTCGGAACCCTCAAGAAGTACCCCAAAAAGCACCCCAGATGCCTCGGCTCGCAAAACAAACACTGTGACGAGATGGGGGGAAGGCCCATCGATAATGGCATTATCGATGTGCCTTCCCAACGTTCTTTCCAGCATGCAGCGCACCGGAACGTTCGGCCCGGCCCCATAGACGCTGATCACGCTGGGGCTCACTGGGGCAATCTCAAGCTTCCCCAGAGCACCAAAAGTGCCCAAGCCCCCGGAAATACCCACAGGTAAAATCGAAAGCCTCCTTCATGAAATACCGACAGAAAAACTCGAGAGCCTTCTTCGGGGTCGGCGGCAGAGGCGACAGCCTTTAAATCATCAGCATCATCAGCATCATCAGCATCATCATCATCATCACCACCACCACCACCATCATCATCATCATCATCATCAGCAGCAGCAGCAGCATCAGCATCAGCATCATCATCAGCATCATCATCGTCACAATCAGAGTCATCATCATCAGCAGCAGCAACCGCAGCAGCAACCGCAGCAGCAGAATCGGCGTCATCCTTATCATTATCATCGTCATCATCACCATCATCAAAACCATCAGAACCATCATCATCATCATCATCATCATCATCATCATCATCAGCATCAGCATCAGCATCATCATCGTCGTCGTCATCCCCATGGAAAACGTCATCGTCATCATCATCATCATCATCATAATCATAATCAGCATCACCGTGGGAATCATCATAATCATCATCATCATCAAAATCGTCATCATCATCGTCGTCATCATCATAGTACTTATCATCACCACCATCACCATCATCAACAGAATCAGCATCATCAGCATCATTAGCATGAGCATCATCATCATCAATAGAATCATCATCACCGCCATCACCAGCAGCAGCATCATCAGCATGAGCATCATTATCAGCATCATCATTACCATCATCATCAGAATCGTGATCATCATCATCAGCAGCAGCAGCATCATCGTCATCATCGTCATCATCACCCTCGTCCTTGTGCTCGTCCTCGTCCTCGTCCTCCTCTTGATCCCTATCCTCGTCATCCTCATCACCATCCTCGTCATCCTCATCATCATCATCAGAAGCGTCAGCAGCACTATCAGCATCCGCATCCTCACCCACATCATCGTCATTATCATCATCACCATCATCAGCGGGAGCAGCAGCATCCTCCTTCACGTCCTGATCCTCATCAGAGTCCTCATCATCAACAGCTTAATCCTGCTCCTCCTCATCATCATCACCCTCATCATTATCTCCATCATCATCATCATCATCATCATCATCATCATCAGCATCATCATCAGCATCGTCATCAACATCAGCATCATCACCATCATCGCTATCATGATCATCAGCAGCATCAGCATCAGCATCAGCGTCAGAATCGTCGTCAGCATTATCATCCTAATCCTCGTCAGCTTCCTCATCATCATCGTCAGCAGCATCATCATCATCAGCATCGCCATCATCATCATCATCATCATCATCATCAGCATCATCATCAGCATCAGCATCAGCATCGTCATCATCATTATGATCCTCATCTTCATCACCATCCTCAAGCTTTTGCTCCTGGTGCTGATGAGGTCGGGTTGCCTTCAACATCTGGTTCACGCCTTAGCGCCGCGCACATTCGTTGCAAAAGTTTGCAACAGCTTCAAGGATGGGGGACAGGTCGTTTCAGAAATGTGGCCCTCGCCTTAGCGCCGCGCGCATATTATTGAAAAATGTGCCAAGAGTTTCGCATTTTCTCAGTTGCAACAAATTCAAAGGTGGAGGGCGATTCCTCTACACAATGTGACTCTCGCCACAGCGCCGCACACATTCGTCTTAAAAGCTTGCAACAGTTTCAGTGGTGGGGGGCGGGTCCTTTTCAAAATGTGGCTCTCGCCTCAGCGCCGCGCGCATTCGTCTTAACAGTTTGCGAAAGTGTTTAGGATTCGTATGTCTGAAGTCCTAGAAATGGTGTTCTCGAAAGACGTAGCATTGCCAGGACGCAACAGTTACGTTAATGGAATGGTGGTCTGGCACAGCGTAGGAGGATCAGGACGCAGCAGTCACATTGATCCGCGACGTTGAAGTGCCAAGAACTGCGTTTGGGTATCATGATGGAACATTCTTAGACGGTTGTCTTCTACTGGGCCTCTTCCCGCAGTGGAGACTATTATTGTAGTGACATATCAAGGGAACTTGGCGGGAGGGTTTATTGTAACATCGTTGAAGCGCGTCTTGGGTTTACCCTGGTCCTCCTCCTCCTGGGGGAGGTGGTGGGACGGTCCTGGATCAGGCCCCTGCTGTGCAGGAGCTGGACCACGCCCTTCCCGGCCATGTGCCCACCGCGGATAGCGCTGTGGAATGCCGAGATGATGCGCTGCACCCACCAGGTCAGGGTGATCGCTATGACCTGCGGGGCAGGCCCAGACCCCCTCGCGCTGCGAAAGCACGACGGAAGGTTCTGCTGGGGGATGCCCTGCCTCTGGGGGCCCTCGCCGGGCAAAGAACGACCCAGGATGCAAAACCAGTCCCAAGGCATTGGTCGAGACCTCTGGGATCCCACGCTCCTGTGGAAAATCACAACGTCGAAAATATGAGGGCTGAGAGGAGTTGGAATGCACGACATTGTGGTCAGCACGATGGTCGTTCATTCGATACACCTGCGCGGATACAAGCTACCCAGGCAGGCATAACCACAATCTCGTCATCAAAGTGGTGGTTAGCCAGTTTTGCAGACGCCACGCGGGACCCCACCCCGCTAACCACAACTTTGGATTGCGAAATGGTGACTCTGAACCTCGGTAACATACATATGTTTCAGACTGCTTGCCTTTCCATAAAGTCGAAAGGAAGCTCGAGGTGAGGAACGATCAGGGCCAGCTAAACATGTTCCTGGCCCAAGGTGTCTCCAGGATTTCCCGGAAGGCCACAATTGTCTCAAAGTGCACCCCTCACGGGCCTGGAGGGGGGTGCCAGGACGATGCGAAAAGCTGGAGACACCGTGGGCCAGGACCACCCGAACCGAGGATCTGGGGGGGCTGGAGCAGAAGGGGTTGAGAAATCGCGCCGCATCGCCGATGCTGCGGCGATGCACCAGCGGCGTCGGGGTGGAGAGGAATGGGCTGCGCGTCGCCGACACATCGGCGATACCGCGCGATCATCCAACCCCGTCCGCTCTGGCCCCATCTGGGTGGCCTGTCGGTTCTCGAACCTTCTTGGCCCTTTTTGGCCCTCAAGGGGCGCCCTCGGGAGGGGTGCCTTGGAGGCCGTGCGGGCCTCCCTGGAAATCTTAGGGACACCTTTTAGGCCAGGGACGGCCTTGACCAAGTCTCGAAGAACACAAAAGACCCAGGACGAAACAATGGGAGCAAAGAACGAGGGATCGGGTGATACGCACGTCCCGAGGGACTTGGTCCAGGATCGAGGAGGACTCAGGGTCGAGGTTCGAAGTCTTTGGACGTTCTTGAGCCCTTATTAGGCTCTCGGGAACGCCCTGGTCACCACGGCTGGATTCCCCTCGGATCGGTTGTCAAGACGCACCCCAGGAGAGCAGGTCTTGTGTTCTAGGCCCCGTCATGGCCAGTCCTTGCTCGGGCTGCTTTCCGATGCGACCACCAAGATCAGAATGGTCCGACAGCCCTCGGCTCCGATCCTCCTTCTTTGTTATCCGACGTTGTGATTGTTTCAATCCGCGGACCTGGCGGCATCCTCAACAATTTCCCCTGGAGGCAGCTCTCCGTCCCCGATCCACTCCCATGGCCCCAAGTTCCGAAAAGCGCTGGCCCCAGTGGCAAACTCCAAAACCCTCCAACCTCGATTCTCGATTTGCGAAAACCCAGACCCGAGATCGGCACGGAAAATAACGCATACGACACCGACAAAGAGCACGCGTTGTCCCTGATATCCACCATATCCACAACAGCAAAACGAAAAGCATGGCATCAAATCACGAAGGGACCCCCAGACGCCAAATTTTTGCTGCACTTTTCGAACGGGATCGATGTGTGAGGGTCCTGGGCCCCGAAACTCGGCAAGATTGCCCGTTGTGGCAAAATCGCGACGCCAGGATCCCTAGGCAGTTTCCAAGCCGAGGCTGGCCCAGGGCAGGGGGCACACGCGCGGGGGAGGAAGAGCCGGGGAGGCGGGCGGCGGGTTTCGGGGAGGGCAGCGGGGGCCTTGCACAGGTAGGCCACGGCGGGCTCCGCCCACTTCTGCAGGTCCTCCCCGCGCTGCCCCTGCCGCCTCCTCCTCCTGCTGCTGTCACCCCGCTCCCTCATGAATGAGTCCCCCCTGTCGCACCCCGAAGCGCGTCGGTAGAGCGGGCCGGGCGCTCCGCCTGACACTTCCTCACCACTCCTGACCCTTAAGCTTGACATTTGCACTAGATTCACTCATGGGTAGGGGGCCAGTTTCAAAATGTGGTTCTCGACTTAACGCCGCGCACATTTGTCGAGACATCTTCACGGATGGAGCACAGGTCGTGTTCAAAACGTGGTTATCGCACTAGTGTCGCGCACGTTCTCTTTGAAATGCCCGCAGCAGGTTCACGGATGGAGCATTTTCTTTTTCAAACTGTAACTCCTGCCGTATCATCGCGCACATTCGCCCGAATGATTTGCATCATATTCACTGATGGTCAAACATCGTTCTCAAAATGTCGGTTTCGCGTTAGCGCCGTGCGCAACAGTGTCACATACGGAAGCCGGTCTTTTTCTCCCCCACATGCGGCGATCGGTTTAACTCCATGCTTGTTCGTCTTGAAATCGTGAAATCACGGATGGGGCACGCGTCGTTTCAAAATGCGGTATTCGCTTTAGCGCCGCGCACAATCGTTTCAATTGTTTGCAATGTGTTCATGGATGACTGGGGACTCGTTTTTCGTATTAGCGCCACGAGGACCTTTTTCCATTATACCACCTTCACTGATGGAGGTCGGTAACTTTTCACAAAGTGAGTACTGCCTGGACACAATTTCGCATTCGCACTTGCTCGCCATGTTTACCGGGATGGAAGCTGTGTTCTTTCCCACATGGGTTTCTCGTCTGCAACTTCATTGAATCGAAAGCCCTGAACCTCAACGCACGTGGCGCTGCACAGATCCACGGCGGATGACGAGAAGCGCGATTAGACTCGAAGGGTCGCTCGATGGACGATGCACAGGGGCCCCGATCGCTCTGTGATTGGGACCGGGCGGACGACGGAACGCGCGGTTAGACCCGAAGGGTCGCGCGATGGACGTTGCATAATGGCCCAGAGGGGAAATATTGATGGCGAGGTGGCTGCATTCCTCCTTCGAACGGACGTGGCGGATGACGGGAAGCGCGCTTAGACTCGAAAAGTCGCGCGATGGAGTTGCCTGGATATCCACAACCCCTGCAACGCGGTCCAAAAATGCATCATGTTCAGGGGGCTCCGGCGAAGTCAAGGCGAGGAAAGAGTGCACCGTTCAGCTAGCAGTAGGGCAACCCTGAAGGACTGAGGCCGGCCCACCGGCCGACGCGCGCGCGCGGCCGCAGGCTCGCTCCTCTTCAGTTTGCCTAGAGCCAAACAGCTGTTAAGTAACAGATAGGTCAAGCAGTGCAAAAGGAAGAGAGCAAGGGGGGCAGCGGGATGGTGGCGCGAAAGGAGAGCAGTGACTCCCCCCGCGGCGGGGCGCGTAGAGTCGCTCCGACCCCCCACCCACCCGGCCTGCGCATATGCGCATCCACAAGAGCCAACCGCAAAGAACATTTCACGGCTCGACTGTGGTTGCCGAGGGGCAGAAAACCGAAACAACGCGACGAACCCCACCAGAGCTAATATCCAATGTCAGCCCATGCCACAAAGTTATGTCACTCCTGGTGCACCCACATCACGATGGACGTGAGACCAACATCGACAAAGTCGTACTGGTTCTTCTCGCGCATACTCATCTCCGCCAGTCTTCGCCCCAGCTCTGAGAATCATTCCAATCATCGCTGCCCCGCCAGTTCCATCGATACTGATCTCGCTGGCGGCTATCGTATATGCCTCTTCCTCTGCCGGTGTTCCAGCTGTCTGACTTGTCTTTGCCCTTGCCCTTGTCAAACGGCCCCGCCATCGGCGTGGGCGGCGGCGGCGGCACGGGCAAGGCGCGATCAGCGTAGAATATATTGTTGTACTCGTGTCTTGAAAATTTGAGCGACACTCTGATGACGATCCACGTGAACAAAATACCCCTGGATGTCGCTGTTGACGTCCACGTCAGGACGATCCCGCAGCGGGTCCCAGCCGCCATCGATCGCGCGGCCGCCCACCTCGTCAACGGGTTCATCGGCCCACGCAAGGGACCGATCTCGATCGTGCCACCCGATGGCAGCCGTCTGCGACCTCCGATCACGCTCGGGGTCGCTGCGCGACGCGGCTGAGCCGGTGGGCACTGGATAGTAAGGAGCAGGCCTGGAGGCCTGCCGCTCGGTCCAACCAGTCCTAGGTCTCGGGGGTGCTCGAGCACTCCGCTGGCCTCTCCACCCCGAAGCACCAGAGCCGCTCGGGGCTTTGGCATCAGCTGGAGGGGTCACGAGGCCTGTAGAAGCCTGAGCAACAATCCTCGGTGCGGCTGGGTCAGCAGGGGCCGCCGGAGGAGGATCGGCCGCGCCGATCCCCTCCTTCCGATTGATTACGCAATAAATAAGACCACTGGCATTGTCAGCAACAAAATATCCATAACGGCTGATGGCCGAACGAGATCTGGCATTGGGAAGCATATCTGATTAGACGTTTGCATGAAATTTACGGCGAGCTGCATCTGTGACTAGCGTCGCCTGACAATGCCCGAACTTCGCTGCCTAAACCGTCGGCCCACGCGCGAATCATATCGAACGATTTGATCGCGGACCTGATCCGGCAGTCTAAAGCATATGCGTCACTCAACGTGTCATCGCGGGCAATGCCTGTATCAGTCGAGTTCTTCTGTACTTCATCTCCTGGACAAACAACATTGAGTCCTTCGGCCACAGAGAAGAAAATAACCTCACGGACAGCAAGAGGTATCCGCCCCCACCGTCAACGAGTGGGGATGACGCTAAAGGGTTCGAGCTATGTTCTATCCACGAGCTCAAACAATCCAGGTGTCACTTCATGGATTATATCTTTCTCTAGCTGCAACTGCCGATCTGGTCAAGTACTCAAGAATAAACTGCAAAGCAACGTCGATGGCATCATTCCGATCGCACTCCGTTGCTTCATGTCGACTCGCTTCGGACATGCATCCCGAGATGGAAACTAGGCCAAGCTAAAAAGGCAATGTTGCACCTGGGAATTCCATCATATGACGCTGCGGTATATTGCCGTCAGTCTGGCCGCCCCCCGACGCTCCCGCGAATTCTTCGCGAGCCACTATCACTCCGTCAGGCTGGCTGGGCCGGTGACGAAGTCTAGCAATTACATGATAATCGATGTATCCCACGACATTCAAAGCGGGCGCATGGGCGCGCCTCAACTCCTCCGCGAGCGCCTCGATCGCTGGGGTAAGAACTCTCCAGGTGCCTCCCCCACTGACCCCAACCTTCTGTTGGGCCCAGTTGTTTTGCATCAGCGCGGTTCCAATCAAAAATGGCAAAAGCCGGGCATCGAAACGGGCGAGAGTATTGATCCACATCTGGTGCCCATGTCAGCGGCAGCCACTGCGCCGCAATCGGAGGGTTTTCAATGCTCGCTTGGGCCTGGTGCTTCAACAAATTCATACAAAAGAAACTTTGACGGCTCAAGATACTGAAAATAGGGTTGATGACGCGCTGGCGGCTGAGCCGCAGCGCCATCGGGTACCCAGGTTGGGACAGTTCCAGTCTGCCCATTGGGGAAGGTTCGTCCTCCCTCAGCGAGCTCGATGCGAACGTCGCCCGTGTTAGCGACCCAGTTACGCTTGCGCTGCTCTGTCTTATTCAAGTTCCCTAAAGCATCAACAGAGCTCTTTCTCATGTTCTTCAATCTTTCAGAAATCATACGCGACTCGGTCTCCTCTCTCGGGGGCTCGCGCACGTAAGGAGCTAGCCCTAAGCTTGTCCACGCATCGATCAGGGCATCCTTGCCGCGCCCTGAAAGATATAGCTCTTTTCAACATCGTGTTGACACTGGACTTGGGTCAGGCAATGAAGACAATTGCCTAGCCCGGCCTGCGCGGAGTGGCAATTCTTACATATGAACCTCCCATCGCCAGCCCGTGGCTTCTGCATGATAAAAGCAAGCTGCTCATCGGTCAGCCGGCAATTGGTTCCGACGGCCTGTATCTCTTCATCAGAGAATACCCACGATCTGATTGAATCAGGCGAGAAATGCACCTCGTATGCAGCCCATCCTTGGGAGAAGATGATTGACCAGGTAAGTCGTGGCTCAGGGCCCACGATCAATCCCAACTTCGCAATTCGAGCTATGTCATTGAAACCTGCCTCCTCCGTCGTCACTAGTGTACTATCGCGGCAAATTCGATATCGTAGGCAGCCCGTTACGCGCCCATTGAAAACGACAACGCACTGCCAAATTACGTGATGCGTCGTCGCGGTTTCCTAGAGAGAGGGTGCGATGGCGTTCGGCCAAGTTCCCCGAGTAGGAGGTCCCTGTCCCATCGGGGCAGAACCTGGGCACTGGTAACTCTTGGCAGGAGCGGCCTCACCATCCTTCTCATGGCGAAGCCAGTGAGGGATGTGCCCATTCGATTTTTCAGGAAAGTCGTATCTCGTCGGAACCAAGCGAAGAAGTCCGTTGTCAGGTCCTCTGCATAAACCGTTAATTTCATTGGGATACTGAATTGCCCCCGAATCTGTCATTGACTCCAGAATTGCTTCAATGCTTGCTATATGCAGCAGATGTCCATGACGCTTCGCCATGTCGAACTCACACGGTGCGTACATACGCTCTATACTGTGAGCGAAACAGGAGCGTCCTTGGCACAGGCGATAAAATACAAGAGTTGATTGACAAGCGCGTTTTTCCCGATCAATGGAAACGATCACCTTTACAGTATCCTCATCAACGACTGAGTCGCGTAAGATATCTGGATTGAGAAAGTTACCCCAGCACTTGTTCAACTTCGCGTCTTCAAGAAGATCGATGTCTTCAGCCTTGATTCCAAGAATTTCAAGTACACCCGGCGATAACACGGTCAAACCGTGCACCGCGACGGCAATCGTGGCGCCATGCAATCCATCGTTTCCCATCTTTGCGATTAGGTCACCGAAGTAGACCCATCCTCAGGATGATCGAG